AAGGCTGAGTCAACCCTGAGCCGGTGAGATTTGAACCGCTGAACTGCTGATCTAGCAGTAGCCTGCAGTGCTGCATTTAACCACTGCGCCACCTCGGCGAATGCTGACTGGGGAATTCTGGGAGTTGAAGTCTGGACATCTTCAAGTTGCCACGATAGAGAAACACTGCCCTAAACCAATGTGAACTTTTAGCTAGGTTGGCGAGCAGCAGGAAGTTAAAATAACCGAAACTTTTCTCGGGGGAAGGAAGGGAGGTTTCATTTCTTATGGAGCAGCTTTTAAAAAAAAAATAGTTCCATTTTCAAGACTATGGGGTGTAGGGCTACTGGCATATTTTGCATGGAAAGATTTGGGTCTTTGAATCTGCTAATCAGGGAGATTTTGCAGATGCATGATGATGTCCTATGGATTGGGTAATTTCCCTGCCCGATGACATCATGAGGGCGATGTCAATGGCCTCCCCCCCCCCCCGCAGCCATCAAACAAGGCAAGAGGGTCTACAAATCAGATTTCATAGAAGCAAAGTATTTTAGATCAGTCAGTCAAAAGTTTAATTGTAATTAATGCTGGTGGTTTGTTTTGTCTTTCAAGATCTCTGCGTGAAGATCCTAAAAGAGGATAAAAAATGCCCCGGGTCCAGCCAGCTTGTAAAATGGTACATCTTCTATCATTTGCAGCTTTGTGTCCTTTGGCAAGGGTGGCCAGCAGAAAATGAATGACGCTTTTGCAAATTTACATGTTTCCCTAAATAAGTCTTGGGAATGAGGTATTGTAAAAGAAACATGTTTTCAATTAGATTAATGCTATGCTTCATGCAAAATTATATAAATTGGTATTCTTAACCAAACCCACTGGTTAATACTATATGGAAAAAGTTGCATAGTCTGGCACCGCTGCATATTTTTTGTTTCGATTAATATACTTCAAGTGTATTTTCAGTTCATGCAAGAAAAAGCTAAGCTTAAAGCCCCAATCTTATTTAACTTTTTTTGCAGGATGCTAGGATGCTACGATGCCCTGCAGAAAAAATATGTAAGTTGGCCTTTTTTTCTGTAATGGGCCACAAAGTTTTACAAATATGAAAACCCTTCTAATAATTTATTTCTTGCTTGTCTTTTAAACAGCTCAGATTAATCGTCTTAGCAGTAAGTTCGGCAAACATATATTCCACATATGGAAATAAAGCTTCCCTTTCTCTTTGCTTGATTTTCATTTTGTTGTTTATCACTCAATACAGGTCTATACCAACCAGGAGGATCCCCAGGTATGTCTTCCATGTCATTTCTTATAAACTTTGTGATTGGACGCTTTGATTTGCATCAAAACATCTATTAAAATTTTTATAAAGATATTTATTACAAGGAACATTTTGATAAAAGTGGACACTTAACACTTTGCATGCACTCTAACATCATAACTGGAGCTAGAAAAAATGAATTATCACTTTTCTTGGGGAACAATTTTTTTCCCTTATTAAAAATACTTTCCTTGACACAGAAAACAACAAAGCCACAACCCACTAGGTGTCACTCTACCTCTGTATTATATTATTGTAAACATACTGAAGACTGGTCCCCTCCCTTTATAGTTTTAGTTGGACCATTAAGAAACCAGTTTTTGTGTGTGCAAAATGCTGTTCCCCAGATTCATCTTATGCACACGGCTTTGAAATTTGTTTCTTGGCATTGCAAAATAGATTTGATCCTGTCATTTTCGCTCACAGTTCTCCCTGAGTGCTAGATAAATAACTTGCTGCATTTTGTATTAGACGGTTACAGAGTGTTACCAGTTTAAGTTCAAATACACAGACGAAGGACCTTCCATGGATTTCAGAAGGTATGCTTTTATTTTTCCCTCTTCATCAAAGAACTCCAGTAAAATATTTTTCCTAGTTTGTCCCAGTAAAATGTGGGGAAATATATGCTTTGATTTTTGGAACCTGAACACTAACCCGGGTGTGTTTGTTGACAAGGAAAATGTACATTTGTTTCATCACAATTCCTCACTAAGAATGGGCTTGTTACAAAGTCTAAATAGGGTCGTTGCAACAAATATTATCAAAAACATATTTGGCCAACTCCGAAATACAGCAGAAATACAGAAATTGCAAACACAGGCTTGCCTTCTAGAATTAAGAAGACCCCTAACTCACCATGCAAGCCCAGGATTTTATTTCCAGAAGCTGTCGGAAAGGCAGCCTCGCCCCCTTCATCCTACTCCCCACAATTGGTATTCACGCTCATACGCCCTTTGACCTGTCCCATCCAGCCTTCCTGGTTTGTCCTCCCTGAGAGATTTATCTTCCGTGATGAATCTTGACTAATTCCCTTCTAAAACTACTTAAGTGAGTGGAAAGAACAACACCGCATCCTATGGAGTAATTGTCATAAATTAGATGGTGGCATTCTGTGAAAACATCCTGCCTTTGGTGTGGGCTGCTGAATCAGGTTGTGTTGCACCACACCACATTCAAGAGAGGCACACAATTTTATGTACCGTCTCCACATCTTGCACACTTTGTGTTCCTGTTTGTGTCTGATTTCCCTCACCCTCCTTGTCAAGAACCGTTTTGCTGCTCTTGCTCTGCTCTCTTTGGGATAAGAACTTGCCTGCAGACACAGCTAGGTGCAAGGGAACGCCTTGGATAGAGCTGAGTTTACAGAAGCTAAAACTTCTGGATCCTCCTTTTTAGGGGAGGCGATGAACTTATTGGGCCTCGTAACACAACTACTTTCTGCTTTCAGTCAGCAGAGTCAATCGAGCATCACATGCGCTGATACGAAGAAAGCGAGTATCCTGCTCATCCGGAAGATTTACATCCTGATGCAAAACCTGGGCCCGCTGCCTGATAATGTCTGCCTGACAATGAAGCTGTTCTATTACGATGAAGGTATCTTTAAGCTCTTAATATCGCCTAATAAGGGAGATATAGGTCAAACTAATCAACATATCTCATGGCAGAGCGTGGATTTGTTTCCTTTCCAGTTACGCCGCCTGACTACCAGCCCCCTGGATTCAAGGAGGGCGACTGCGAAGGGATGGCCTTTGAGGGGGAGCCCATGTACCTCAACGTTGGGGAGGTTCCCACCCCATTCCATATGCTGAAAGTGAAAGTGACCACCGAGAAGGACCGCATGGAGCGTGTGGACAAAGCCATCCTAAAGGAGGACGCCAGCCTTGCTTCCGTGCACCTTCAGGAAGACCAGCATCAAAAAATGGATGTAAGAGTGTTGGGGTTTACTTGTATGCTTGAAGAAATACGTTTCATGTTATGCTTGTGGGTCACAATGACGCCACTTGCTTTGCCCGCCTTCAAAATCATCGAAACGGTTCCGTTGGAAGAACATCCTTGTTTTGTGTACTTTACGCAGGAAGATTTTGTGCCAGAAAACAAAACAGGAGGGCAGAAGAATGCAAGCAGGAAGCTGCACCCAGAAGGTACACATGGCATAGGATTTTCTTCTGTGTCAAAATAACCGGGCATTCATCTCGGTTGCCTTGCTTTTTTCTAGGTGTCAGATGAACTTGTGAACTCAATGCTTTTATTGTGAATCATATGTATGTTTGAAAAATAAGCACGTGATTTTAAAAAGAAGGCAGCAGAACAAATACTCAAATACCTATTTTTTCCCTCCAGAAAGATGATACAAATGTAAAATTCTGCCCCCATGAAAAGTCCTTCGGACTGGAAAGCATATTTCATTCTCATTTGTTTGTTTTATTGAATTTATGTAATTGTCTCTCTCATGCACGTAAACCCTGGGTGATGCAAATTAACTTGGGACAGGGCTTTTTTTGGAACTAAACGTGTGGGTAGAGTAATATTTAGCTACCCCAGGTACTTTGCTAACCTTAGGAAATGGAGGGAGAGGAACATCTGTCCTGCATCACAACCTCTCAGCCCGGCTTCCTGGACAGAGTGTGACTCCTCCTGCCTGATTTTGAAAATGTATTAAGGCAATTCAAAAGTCTAATTATCGTTCATTCTGAGGAATTGCATAATCCTTTACAGAACCAGACCTGATTTGCACAGAGGAAGAGAAAACCACAGAAGAATTCCCGAGCTGCCCCATCAGTAATTCTAAGGTACAAAAGCTCAGTTTTCTTTCCCAACATCCCTGCTCTCCCCACGGGGATAAAAGAAGAAAACTGGTTCAGCTACTTGAGTGCAGGAACGTGCTGCTTACCCCAGTAGTTCCCAGCCCGTGCCGTTATGAATTTATTTCCCCAGCCATGCCGTGCTGGGATAGCTTCTCAACTCCCAATTAATTTAATTTTGTTTTATTTGCTGCGTGGCAAATGATTCTTAAGGCACAAAACGTCAGAAGCTTCTGAACAAAGCTGCATTTAGTGTTCAAGGCTCAGCTTTCAAGCAAGCCTTTTTATGGAGAAAAACCTCAGCCATACCTCTTCCCAAATAGCTTGTGGTCCACGGCTCCTAAGTCTGAAAAAAGCAGAAATGTGGTCTGTTAAAGTTTAGCCAGTAACCATTTGGTTGTTTTAACTCTTTTTAGGTGGATCATTTAATAAGCAAGACATCAGAACTTGAAGTCACCGAGAGCAGGACCCGAAGCGGGAAAAAATTTATGGGAAACATAGTAAGTGTTTTATTCTTAAACACGCGTTATATTAAAAGATCAGACTGATAGTCATGCAGGCCCGACAGCATCGATTGTTAGTTCTTAATTTACGGTATTCCCCTAACTTTGAATTAATTCCCTGGTATCTCCATTTTGTTACTCTTCCCATAACTGACTTTGACTTTGTTATGTTTGTTGTTAAATGAAAATATTAATTCCTACAACAAATTTTCTCACCAACCCACGATCTTATTTTATCCTCACACCGATCTTTCCTTGTGAAATGTCTTAAGACCGCATGCTAAGTCACATAGACTTTTAGACTGACTTTAAATCTGGACAGCTAGGATCCGAGAGGGGAAATCCGAGCCTAGCTAAGTGGCAGCCCTCAGTGCCTCTTCTGGCCTTCACACCAGCTTTTTAATGAAAAAGCATGAAGTCAAATCAGACCCAAGAAGGCTTCCAGCCCTCATTCTTGATTGTCTGCAAGGGGAAGAGAAAACGGTGCTGATTAGGAGATTACACGACTGGAGTGAAAGCCAGTTTTGGGGTGTGGGGGTGGTGTCTGCGGGCTTTATAAAAACTCCCACCCCGAATTCCCAGTTTCCAGCAGAAAGTGTTCCAGAAAGAACCTTCAGGTCAGTCTGAATCTTTGCAGATCTTCCCATCCATCATACAAAGTGCTACTAAAAAAAAAAAAAACAAACCCCAACCCTCTTTGCACCAGCCAAATGCCTGATTGATATAAAATTGTCCACCTATAAGCATTGTGGGAGCCGATTCTGCCAGAATCAGCAACTTAAGAAGTGCCCTTTAGCATGTACAGCAGGGGAAGTAAATCACATGTCATCAGGACCAAGCTACGGCTTGCCCTTACTGTCGCCACTCTTAGAGAGCCCTTCATTAATTTTTTAGCACAAGCCGAGGAAGAGTAACAGCCTGCAGATGCCTCGCGAGCCGTCTTAATAGCCGTCTGCAGTAAGGCTCTTCTTCTAGAGTAACAGTTCCTCTGTCTCTGTCAAGGGTGCCGCCGCCGCCGCGGGAAACACAAAGCAGAGACCCTCCAAGGGTGCCGAAGCCCAGAAGAGAAGGAGCTCGGAACTGGAGAAGCCTGTAAGTGCCTCTGCGCTGCACTTAGTCCTCCCTCCTTTCCCCAGGCAGGATTTTGGCAGAGCGAAGAGAAAGCCTGACCTCTCGAAAGGTCCGTTTTGTAAAGGGAGGAGGCTGGTGGGGACCACAGTCCACTGCTGCCCATCCATTTAACGACTCTGCACATTTGCCTCGCAGCTCTTTACTCACACTTGCTCCCGGCGGGTAAACTGTGCCTTGGACCACAGCCGCCACGGTCAGAAACGCACTCTACGAAATAAAGTCGCAGCTGCTGAAATAATAAACCCAGCCAGGGGTGTGATAAAACACAAAGCCATTGCAACTGAGCACAGCTCTTAGTTCTGCTTGAAGCTCTGGGGCCATCACAAAATATTGTTCTGGGGTGACACAGCCACACATTTGTTGCATGTAACAACAGGTGCGACGCCAAAGGTAGCCAGGCCTTCTTAGGAGCCCCTTTTTTTCTGGCCGTGTAAAGTTTGGGGCGGATACTCTGGCAATTCCCTGCCTTACAGCCGTTTGTTTTTGTAATGGAATAATCTGTGTGTTTTTGCGTAATAATAATAAATTTCCCCACTTCTCTCACAGCCCCTCACTGGTGGAGGGTCAACCTGTTTTGGATAGCGGTATCCACCTTACTGCTTATATTCCAAGGCACTTCCCGCAACATTAGCGAGGCTTAATTCTCAATCAAACCCACATCCATTCACTGAAACGATACCCTAAATCTTAAAACAGGTTTGCTGGAGACGGCCAATCTTGCGTTTTTTTCCACCGAACCCTCCGTTTAATCCCCATCGATGTTTTTTATTGACGTTGTGCCACATTCTTCATGTTTACCCGAAGAATAAGTCCCCTAAAGTTCAGCCGTGCTTGCATGATGCGAGACGCCGGCCAGGTTGGAGCCAGAGACACCTTCTTCTCTCTCTGTTTTTTTTATTTTGCAGCAACGGCTGAGAATTTACAGGCCTTTTCTCATCACCTGCAGCCTAAGTAAAAAATTACATGTCCCGGCACTTCCCATGTATAAAATGAGTGGCTGCTAAATGCTGGTGGCGCTTTCAGGTCTAATGGCAAATGGAGAACACACACACACACCAAAAGAAGTAATAGAACAAATTGGCTGGAATATATTAGCTCGAAAGGGAGTTGTGATTGTGTATTAAATGGGCAAACATTTCCCATTTGGGCTCCCCGTCCTCTGCAAAGGGGGAGCAGGGTTTAAAGATTCCTATTTGATTTCGCTTCGTTAAAACCTCAGAGAGGAAGATCTGCCTGTCAGGAGCATCCAAGACTTGAAAGGAGGGAGGAGTATTAGGGGTGCCTTGAGTTATTTATCATGATAATAAAGGCGGGGTATCAATAAATGAATAAAAATAAATTAAAAAAAAACCTCCATGGGGTTTACCGTTTGCGGACCGTCCAGCCAAGGCGAAAGAGTTTATTTGCAATCAATGAAAACGAGAACAATAAACGGGACGAGGAGGAAGAGGGGATTCTCATAAAAGAGTTTTATATTCTGCAGGAGATGCATCTGTTTCTGGCTTCTTCTTCTGTCTCTCCAGGTTTATCCTCTGGATTTCTCATCCAGCCAAGACCTGAGTCCCAAAAGGAAGAAAATCAGCCAGCCCAAGGAGGAGTTCTAGGCGGCCGCTTCCCCCTTCTCTCCCCACTTCTGCCCCCTTCCTTCCTTCCTTCCTTCCTTCCTTCCTTCCTT